CCCTCACACACACACCCACACACACCCTCACACACACACCCTAACACACAGACACCCTCACACACATACTCACACACATACCCTCACACACACTCTCTTATACACACACACACACACTGACACACACACCCCCTCACACACACCCCCTCACACACACACCCTCACACACACCCTCACACAAACACACCCTCACACACACACCCTCACACACACCCTCACACACACACACCCTCACACACACACACCCTCACACATACAAACCCTCACACACACACCCACACACCCTCACACACACCCTCACACACACACCCTCACACACGCTCACACCCTCACACACACACCCTCACACAGACACACCCTCACACACACACCCTCACACACACACTCTCTCCCTCACACACAGACACACAGACACGCACACGCACACACACACACACACACACTCACTCACACACACACACACCCTCACACACTCTCTCTCACACACAAACACACACCCTCACACACACACACATTTAACGAGTGTTCAGTTGAAACCAGCTCATACTGCATTAAGCTTAATTCTGCAAGTAGAACAAGAACATGGGGTAATCACGTGTTAGTGGCCGATAAATAAAAGAGCACCCGCTTATCTCCCCATGATACACAAAAGTTCTATTTCTGACCGGATACATCCAAAATCCGTCTAGAGAAGCTCAGAGAGCGGTGAGTTCAGTTTCTTTCACTTGACCGATGTCGACCGCTGGACTCGCAAACAGCGTACAGGGCTGTCTGGTCTCGAGGCTTGGTGTCCGCCTCGAGTCCTAAAGGTTCCGGGTTCAATCCCCGGTAAGAGCTGGGATTTCATTATGTGGACTTTGACTTCTAGTAATTCTCTCTGGGTAGTCAGATCGGACACCTGTTTGCATTGTTGCGCACGTAAAAAATCCCTAGGCAGTTGGAAATCAAAAAGAGTAGCATAACGGCGCTGCCCGGGCAAAATTTGGAGTTACAAATAAACCAAAGTATTTCAGGATCCTCGCCGGTGCTACAGAGCCTGTGAACTGTGGTGAGCTTATTCGGACTCAGACTTGAGTTAGGAGAAGAATGTAAAACTACGGAGTTCCGTGTGTCATGATGTTGATTCGTTGTTCAAACCTCACAACCTCAAATAGCGAACGGCAGGGCCATTAAAATAAGTTGACGCAGGGGACAAAGTGTCGGAGACTGGGAACCGTCGGGGACATCCTAAGCCCCAGCAGAGAGACATTATTAATACTATACAGTTGACAGGGGTTTCGCGAGCCACTTGTTAGGTCTCGGCGGGCCAGACACGGCCTGCAGGCCGCCAGTTGAATAGCTTTGGTGTACGAAAACAAATATGGGTCGAAGCCCTGTCTTCGGCTTCGTTGTCTTTGACTATAACCGGCTCCAGCTGACGGGAGGTGCTGCTGACGTCACCAGGTAGGGCTACCGATGCGTTAATGTAGCGGTTCTCAAACAAGAATCAAACTATTTAACAACAGTGGCGAGGAAAGACAACTTAAATTTTAATTTTTAAGTATCTAGATGTCTTCTTTAATCATTTCACAACTTTTAGCCGACTTTTCTTGATTATTGCTGCCGCACCCCTGGCATGCCCTCACGGCACCCCAGTTTGAGAACGGCTGCGTTAGCCCGACCCGGTGACATTAGCAGCACAACCCGTCAGCTGCAGTCGGTCGTGGTCGAAGACACCGTGACTGACAGGGTATGAACGTTTGGGAAAGAACTTTAGTTCACCACATATTGTTAACGACCGGCTCATGTAACACCATCGCTAAAATTACTGCAGAAAAACAAATGAACTGTGGACGAAGCTTATGTTTGCTAGCTAAAGAATTTGATGTGTCAGTTAGGACAGATCAAAGGGTTGTTTGTGTGAAACTTCAATTCCTGATGGTGTATTAACAATTGACGTTGACCATCCACTAAAAGGAAGAACGCATGGGATGATGTTTGAACCGCTTGCTACCTTACAGAGCGGAGGGTGAGCAACCACTATCCTTTTTCTTCTTTGCGGACGGCATTCGTCATCTGCCTAAACAATGAGATGCTTATCTGCATGCATATGGCGAGCTTTTTTTGACCAATCCATTATGCATAATTAATTAGGAATTAAAGTTTTATTTAATTCTACCACAGCTGTTGATACTTGTTTAATGCTTTTTTAATAAAGCCTTGGACAATTTTCAAATCAAGGCTCCTTATACATGTATACACATATGTGTGTACGTATACTATATATGTATATATGTGTGTGTGTGAGCACGTGTGTGTGTGCGTGCATGCATGTGTGTGTGAGTGTGAGCACGTGTGTGTGTGTGCATGTGTGTGCATGTGTGTGTGCGTGTTTGTAACATTTAAAGATGTGTATATACAACTCTGCTAGAGAGTTTGCTATAGCCTAGCTCTCTTTCTTGCATCCCTTGTTTCAGAGAGTGAGATGCCAAGCGGACACTCCGACAAGGCTCCAGAATAGGTGGTTATCAGTCTTGCCTGTGCTCTGTACCTGTGACCACGTGATATGGTGTATGTCGTTGACATGGTGCTCTGGTGTTGTGTGTACTGCATGCACGCTACTTTGTGTTCTATTGTTCGCATGCGTCTTGCCTACCTTTTTAATTTATTTTCTGTATGGCATGAAATAAGCATTAATAATGCAAAAGGAAGGAGACAGAGAGAGAAGATGCTGGACAGATTGACACCATGGGCATGGAAGATCATCTGTGTCAGAGCTGATAGAAAGTACACGAGACAGAAGGTTGTGTATAGACATGACTACCAACTTTACAAGGTCTGAAAGATCATCTGTGTCGGAACTGATTGACACGAGACAGATGGTTGTGTAGAAACATGACTACCAACTTTACAAGGTCTGAAAGATCATCTGTGTCAGAAATAATAGAAAGTACATGAGACAGAAGGATGTGAAGATACATGACTACCAACTACACAAGGTTTGAAAGACAATCTGTGTCAGAAATTATAGAAAGTACACGAGACAGAAGGATGTGAAGAAACATGACTACCAACTCCACAAGGTCTGAAAGATCATCTGTGTCAGAAATATTAGAAAGTACACGAGACAGAAGGATGAGAAGAAACATGACTACCAACTCCACAAGGTCTGAAAGATCATCTGTGTCAGAAATAATAGAAAGTACACGAGACAGAAGGATGCGAAGATACATAACTACCAACTCCACAAGGTCTGAAAGATCATCTGTTTTAGAAGTCATAGAAAGTACACAAGACAGAAGGTTGTGAAATGACATGACTACCAACTCCACAAGGTCTGAAAGATCATCTGTGTCAGAAATCATAGAAAGTACACGAACCAGAATGTTGTGAAAAGACATGACTACCAACTCCACAAAGTATGAGAGGTCATGTGTGTCAAATGATCGATAGGACACGAAACAGAAGGTCGTGGGCACATGCCTACCAACGCCAGATCAAATAAATATTGCAAAAGTTAGAAAGTGTTTAGACAAATATTTCTCATTACATACTGGACAAGCCCATAATCGCTCAGATCGCATCTTCAGTATCACCCTCAGTCTGTGGCGACTGATACCTCCAGTTCTGTGTTGGTTTACTATTCTTCTTTTGCTACCTTGAAGGAAACTGATTGACGTCAGTCGGAAGAAGACAGTCAGAAAAAGACAATCGAAGTGTTTTGGTCATGACATAAGAAGGAGAAAACAGGAGTGCATTGTGACGGTGGAAAGGATGGAGAGAGAAAGAGGCAGTGGTAGACAGAGAGAGAGAGAGAGAGAGAGAGAGAGAGAGAGAGAGAGAGGGGGGGGATTCTAGACAGTTTGACATCAAAGTATGGAAGATTATCGGTGTCAGAAATGACTGAAAGTTCACGAGACAGAACAGTGTGGATAGAAATGACTTTTAACGCTACACGCCATGGACTATGAGAACAAACTCATCTTATCATTCCCTTGTGGGATGCAATTTTTCCTTATCTGAAACCATATTGCTCTTGACAGGGGCAGCAATATAGCCCGACCATAAATATTGCCTAATGGCTGAACGCGGTTTCTGGGACCTCTCCACAGGTGATCCTCATCCACATGGTTGCACTTTGTGTCATCGGGTGTTTATCGCTTGAGTAATGTCCTGGTGGGGTAAAAGAAGATAGATAGAACAAACTCATTCACGCAACTGTAAGACATAAAATTATAAGCTTTTGTAACGATGGAAGCAATGGTTGAGTAGCAACGAGGCATTTGCCCGAAGCCCGAAGAAATTCGCATCGAAACACATTTCTTTCAAAGTTGACATTGACTCCCAGATCGACACAGTCACAAATCTTTATCATCATCCGTTATGTGCCGTTAGACGTAACATAGAACTTTTTTCGTTTCCTCTGCTCTATTGCATTCAACTCTCTCTCGATTTGTGACATAAAGTTCTGCGCAGCATTTTTAGCCTCTCGTAATAATGTTCTTCTTAATATTTCCCTTGATTGTCTACTTGGTCCAAGCCCGTTTGTTTCCCATTTCAGTACTTGTTTTGAAATTCTTTGCTCATTTCGTCTCAGAGTGTGTCCAGTATATCTCCACCTTCTTATTGAAGTCAATACAAACATTCGTTAGTCAGAAATGGATACCAGTCAATGTGCTGGGATGTCTTCTTCTACTGCTTCGCTTTCACCGAAGTTCTGTAAACTCCTGCGATAATTCTGGTTGTTCGTCCATCTCTGGACTTAGGCTTGTTCGAAATCCTGAGTGTTGCGTGAACATCTGTTTTGATGATTTAACTTATTTGTATGCAGACTGTTGGTTCCGGGCCTCTCGGGCCGATGGAAAGTTTACGGTCGATTTCTGTTGTGAAGAACAATTTGGTAATCCTAGGCAATCTTTCATTCTTTAGCTCTTATCCTGATTAGAGGAATTTCTGATAAAAAGAACTATTTCCTGGGTCCCCGGTAAATTCTCCTTCCCATGGCTACATTGTTTTGAAATAATATGAAATCTAAAAACAATTACTTATACAGAAATGTCAATACATTGTTAGGGAATTAAAATAATCATTCCACTTTTCCCCACTTCTGCGACAGGAAAAAAAGGGGGGGGGGGGGGGTAGAGGGGGCCGGGGGGGGGGGAGAAGTTGAGGTCCTAAACGTTACTGTGTGTGTGGGAAGGGGGAAATACAGAAAGGGATGCCCTAGCCCCACGGTTGAGGTTCCTGTGGTGTGGAGTCTAAAGACTTTTACATAGACAACTATCAACAACCATGTTACATAAAATACGCCCCCTTGTATAAATTATCAGGGGTTTCAGGGGACGGTAATCCAAGTGTTTGCTTATCCCGGTTATTCCTCCTGATTTGCTGCGGGACGAAGACTTGAAGGGACAAAAACCAATATGTCCAATTTGCATTTAATAAAACGTAATAGAGGGAATGTTTTACATCCAATTTGCATTTAACATAACATTAATAATTAGTCGGGGATAATAATGTACATACTGATTTGATTTCCTGTGGTTTCGGTGTTTTGTCTGAGTGCGGAGATTGAAGCGGTCATGGCTGGTTTGAGGCAAAAGACCCTTTAACATGTCTTTCACGCATCCGACGCACAGGGCAAGAACTGTATTTGTATTAACTAATCGGCACTCGATAGATGATGCAATTAATTTCATACCGGCCGCCTTTACTTCACATTGCATTGCCCGGTACCCAAATGTGGCTGATTCAATATGGAAGCCACGATTAAGGGCGTGACTTCTGTGAAAGACTGATCACGACCGGGTCAGTCACGTCGAGTGGTGACCCCAGAGCCCTAGAGTCGACAGCGTCACGGCGTTGTGAAACTTCCTACTCACGCACTTGCCAGACTGACACGCTTGCGCCACCATAGCGGACCTTCATTCGCCGATCAATTTCTACAGGTTTCACATCTTCACGGATAAATGAAACTGATAATAGAACGCTGCTCCTCTTTGGTGCATGTAAAAAATGGGGCAGCCATCTTTCAAATGTCATTGTGACGTCATCGCATTCGTCTGCACCGTAATGTTACTTGCTTCCCATTCTTAACATTCGTAACAACAATATTGACAGGTTACAAGACAATAGAGGAGCGCTGGGCTCTGAAGCAGGAGACCCGGTTTCGAATCCTCAGTGAGGCTGGGAATTTTTTTCTTTCGGGGGCACACACAAAAAGCTTCAACTGTACTAGCCATGCCGCCGTAAATCCTTAGGCGCAAAGGAATCCCCCCCCCCCTCCCCTCCCCCCCCCCCCCCACCCCCGTCTAAACCGCATGTGGTAATAAAAAAAATTAGCCGTTTTTACTAGACACTAGCATGGCCACTGTAATTTCTATCACACTTGTATAGTTTTCATTTGAAGTCCCCTCGCACCTCCTGCGATTGTAGAGTTGTTACTGATACTCCTATGTCCTGTTACTGATACTCCTATGTCCTGTTACTGATCTCCGATGTCCTGGCCGTTGCAAATTTTCGCATCAGTTGCCAAGAACTTTCCGCTGAAGCAGCTAGCACAAACGCACAGCACTTAGTCGGCACGCTACCGTTGTCCCAGGCCGTGTGATCGTATGTTGGCTGGACTGACTCGATGTATTTACTGCCAGTCACTGCGCTGTGTGATTATTTTACTGCCTAGTTGATGTTTTGTTTCGTTGCTTCTGCTACTTTAGATCAGTGATTTTTCTTTTTTTATTCTGGGGGCGTTACCCCCTGCGGAAAGGGGTATCGCGCATAAACAAGTTTGAACGGGGATATCAATGTTAAAAAAGGAATGCATATTTGTAATGGTAATAGCTTGTGATACTAACACTTTTTTCAATTTAATTATTATTAATTATATATATATATGTGTGTGTGTGTGTGTATTTAATTATTTATAAAACACAGAGCAAAGGACGTTTTTCCTTTCACGAGCAGTTGATATCTGGACACAATAAATTACCATTTGTTGGTAATTGTTTCGTTTATGTTATGGTCTCGGGGCATGGTGCCCGCCTCGAGTGCTAGAATTTCCGAGTTCAATCCCCGGTAAGGGTTGGGATTTTTATACGCAAACTTTGACTTCTAGTGATTGCCAATGGTCGCTGGGTAGTGAGTTCGAACGCCCGAGTGCATTCTTGCGCACGTAAAAAAAATCGCCAGGTAGTTTGAAAATGGACAAGAGTAGCCTAGCGGCGATGCGCGGTCAAAATTTGCAGTTAAAAATCTACCCAAAGTGTTGTAGGGCTCTCGCCGGTGCTACAGAGCCTGTGCACTGTGCTGAGCTTCTTCGGACTCAGACTTGAGTTAGAAGAAGAGCGTAGCACTTATGGGCTACTACTCCTGGTAGTGATTGGGAGTTTTCATTTTGTCCTTTTTTTAAATCAAAATTTTTAATTTGTCTGTTTAGGTCGGAGAAAAAGGTGGGAGTGAGGGTGTGTGTGTGTGTGTGTGTGGGGGGGGGGGGGGGGGGTTAGGAGTCCTGTTATATATTCA